AAGTATCTCTCGTTCTCGAAAAGATTGCCAACGCGCGCACGCCCGCCGTGCCTCTCACCTCAATCGCCCTCGCGTACGTCATGCACAAGACGCCATACGTGACGCCCATCGTCGGCGGACGCAAACTCGCCCACCTCCGCCAGAACATCGACGCCCTGACCATCCGCCTCTCGCCGCAGGAGCTTGACGACATCGAGGCCGCGTACCCCTTCGATGTCGGGTTCCCCATGAATTTCATTGCGGGGAATGATCCCCGCGGTCCCGTGCGCGGCGCCGCGGATGTCGCATTCACCAAGAGGATTGGGCATTTCGACTTTGTGCAGGGGTCGCAGCCCATTTTGCCGCCGCTAGGAGTGGACAAGTTGAGCGAGGCGGAGAGGGCGGAGGTGCTGGGGTATAGACTGCAATAGAATGCAGGTGTCTTGAGAGCCATTTTGTCTACCAACGAAGATAGATGAGTGACGAATTGACCGTGTCTTCGGAGATTGTATGTACCTGGAAATAGGGTTGAGTGTGGCTGGTTCTCCTCGTAGGCACTCGGCATGAGGCATTCGACCAATGGCAACAAAAATCATATGGATCGATATATCGGTTGGCCCCAATCGTACAAGAGAGTCAAGTGAAGCCAGCCACTAACTGTCGATGTTCACGGCTTCCTGTTCTGATTTCCAGAGCTCAAACAATCTTCATGGCCTTGGCCGCCCAACTCGACATGGTCAACGCCGCCGTTGTGCCCGCAAAGACAATGAGTGGCCCAAAGCTGCCTGCGTAGGCGCCTGCTGCACCTTTCCACCCTGCGACGCTGCTGCCGTGCAGTAGTGCCTCGCTGACAGGACCGCACACCACGTTTCCGATCCCTCTTCCGCCACCAAGGAGTCCCATCATGCTGCCCAGGTCTGCGCGCCCCGTGTCTCCGCCGGGGGTGACACGGCGGAACTCCTGAGCGGCGCCGGCGTAGACGGCCGTGAACCCACCGGCAAAGAATCCATAGCACAAGGCAAACGTTATCAGCAGACCCGTCGAGGATGACGCAAGACCCCAGAGAAGGAAGATGGCCAGGGTTGATCCCAGCGACGAGATCAGGATGACGGTGTACACGGGAACCTTGTCTGACAGAGCGGAGAGGACCATGACACCTGGGACTTGTGCAACGTTGAGTAGTGATACGAGGAGTGAGCCCGAATGAAGGCCATTAACGCGGGCATAGGCTGTTGTGACAGGTTAACCACATATTTCAAACCACAGGGGTCTCAATGGAGCGCCAATGTTCTTACTGGGAAGATAGAGCTGAGGAACAAAGTATCCCAGCCCTTGAATGATGTTGCAGATCTCTATCGCCCAGAATTGCCTTGTCTTGACAAACCCAAACCCAGCAATAATAGCTCGTACCGGTGCTCGGTGAGATCGGGAAGGAGGAATCCGTGGTTTGACAAAATACAGAAATGGAGCGATCAACACGAACTACACAAGATCGTGAGCAGAGTGCGACTTTGGAAAGGCACTGGCTGGTGGAAGACGTACCAGAGCAATTGACCAGCCCCTCAAGAAAGTCTCGACACCATACTTGCTGACGCCCCAGTGAAGCACCAGCGGACCAGCCAACCCACCACATCCAGAACCAGCCCACATGACCCCATAGGCGAACCCTTTGCGGCGGACGAACCACTCGTCAATGAAACTGTAGATGGGGTAGTAGACGAGATTGCCGCCGATGGCGTAGATAATCCCCTGGGTAAGAACGAGATGCCAGGTCTTGGTGGCAAAGCTCGAGAGAAAGACGGCGAGGACGACAACGGCCAGGCCAACAAAGAGACTCCGCCGCAGGAATATCGGCCATCTCTGAAAGGCAAGGAACACTAGCGGCGCGCCCAAGTACATGATTCCCTAGCAATACGACTCAGATTCGCAAGCCTTCGTTGTGCCGACGTGAGTGCTAACATACCGAACATGTTGTCCCGATGGCGGAAATACCCGCAGGATGTCGAGAAAGAGGCGGGTGGGTTGAATAGTAATCCTGTAGCACACCGAAAGAGAATGGAAAGCCTGGAGACAAGGTTAGATGGCAGGGTCTCAGGCGAGAAGGTGACCGTGGGTAGTTACCCCAGAGAAGCATCTCGATGCAGAAGCTGCCGGAAAGAAAGAGCCATGCCGCCTTTCCACCATCGACTGAAGGGAGAGACGCAGTTTCATGGGCATTAGAGCGATCGGTAATTTGCTGGTCGCCAACATATTCTCTGAGTTCCATCCGGGAAGGTTCGCTGTCAGGGGCCATCGCGGTCTAACTCTGTCTGTCCTGCGAAAGTGTTATCTAGGATGAAGACACAAGAATGAAAAACTTCAGACGTCGTATCGTATATCAAAGAAGCTTTGGTGTCCGCTTTCCGTCTTGGCAAGGCTGAGAGACGAGTCCATCATGGTTTGTATCTTTCTTCACTGATTGCAATGACTGTGGTTGCGATTGTCATGGATACCTTTGTTTGTATAAAATACCATGCTGGCCATCACCAAATAGGTCATGGTGACTTGCATTATATTTCGATATCCAATGGGCTCACACTCTTCTGAGGTGCTGCAGATCCGGGTTACTCCGTGAGCCTTTTAAAGAGCAAAGCCACAGACATGGTAGACAATACGTAGGCTCTGCGCCTGCTTGAAAAGCTCAGCTCTGAGATTTAGACAAACCCTTCACTATTTGGTCGGAAACCCATTGGCGATGTATGCCTCCTCAATAAAATGCGCCCACTTCAAACTCTGCTTGAAGTCCAGGTACTTGTCGGTTTTACCTTTCGCAAACGCCTCATAGAGCCTGGCCACGTTGTCCGCCGGAGCTTTCAACCCCATCTTAAGGGCAACGTCGTCCTTCACATCCTCCTGTAGCACTTGGTTCAAATCCACATCCTCGACCTTGTTGGCCAGGAAGTCAAACACCTGCACCTTGACGTCACCACCCAGCCAAAGCATTTCGTTCCCTGTGATTCTGATTTCGCCCCTGGTGTAGTAGATGCGCCAGTCGAAGCCCGGGGTGTCCTTGAATGGTAGCCCGCCGCGGACGTGAAAATTGAAGGGAATGTCACCCTTAAGGACACCATTCACGAGAATGTGATCTGGCGTGCTGTTGGGATACGACTGTTCGACGATATTGAAAGCGCTATCGGTCAATGCGACCGTGGGACGTTTGTTTCTGAGCACAATATTGTGGGATTCGATCTCACCTAGAGCAGCGGTGAGAGTATCAAGTACTGAGGAAGGGCAGAGCAATCGTGTTAGCTTGAAAACCCCCACGATAGTTGACACTTGTACCGCAGAAGGTAAGGGATCACTCACAATGTATGGCCGTGATCGTGAACATATTTCCCCCCTTCTTGATGTCCGTCAAGTAGGCCGTCTCCTTTGGAGTCGCTAGACCCAGAAGGAACGCGCTTCCCGTCAAGGTGGTACTGAGGATATCACCCAACTGACCTTCTGCATTGCCAATAAACTTCTTGATGGCGTGAATGTAGGCACCGGTGCGACCTTGCAAGCCCACTATGGTCTTGAGCTTCTTCTGCTCGGCCAAGTCGGCCAATTCTTGCATCTGCTCCAGGTTCGAGGCTAGGGGCCACTCGCAGAAGACTGACTTTCCGGCCAACAAAGCCGGTTTGATGAGACGATAATGCTTGTCAACTCTTACAGAGCAGACAACCAGGTCGACGTTGTCGTCCTTGGCCAGAGACTCCGGGTCGCCATACGTGCGGACTTTGGCCCCCGTGTCCAGGCCGTACTTCTTTGCCGCCTTCTCCGCCGATTCGACAGATGAGTTGCAAAGGGCCGTGATGGTGTAGTCCGGAGACTTTTGAAAGTACGGCAGGTGGGCATTCTTACCCCACGCGCCGGCGAGGTGAGCTTTTTCATCAGAGGACAAGCCAAGAAAGCCCACGCGAATTGGTTTGGACATGATCGCCTGTGTTGGAACAAATGTAATTTACTATCCGTAGATATGGAGGATTTCTTTTTCTCTGGTGTGAAAGAAGATATAACGGGGATATAAATAATATCCATACCTTCGAGGTCTCTGTGTATGGAGAGGTACCCATCAGTGTTGCGATTCGGCCGAATCCGCTCTGTGCAAATTTCCAGGTCGCGGACCAATTTTCTTGTTTACCAAGCGAACTGGTAAAGTGTAGTGCAAGCCCGATTGGCTGGAGTGCGACGGAATGTCAAGCCGAATCACGCAACTTGCTTGGATGCGGTCTTGGGCATTACCTCTTGTGTACAAGGACATGATAGCTGAGGCGAGTCATCGTTCCGACCATCCGACTCCATTTGTAGCGGACAGTCCGTGATGACTTCGATGCCCGATTCCTGGATAACCTCAACGAGAGATGGATGGTACGCCTGAGTCGACGTATCTCCCAAATGTGGGCCTGTCCTAGATCAATCCACACCACGTCGCAGAGATACAATTTACTCAGCATAGAGCGCCAGAAATCTTGTCCATCTCATCAAAGAAGCTAGTCATTCTGCTCCTGTACGAGCTAACAAAGACAACGACGTGGCTATAGCTTCCAAGAATGCAGTTGGCACCATCTGCGTCCTCGTCTTCGCGTTGCCGTTGCTTGTGCCAGGACGGGTCCCTGGTCGTATGCGTCGTCCTGTCGTCCTTAGTTTTCATGAGACAGGAAGAACATAGTTCCATTGACGAGAGAGTATCAATGTCTACTGCATCGCTCTTTGGGATTTGGGAGGCGTGACCTCGATTTCCGGGTTCTGGATATTGGAATCTGGGATGTGAGATCATGTTGTTGTTGTTGCACTGTCCAGCGACTCCCCTCAGCTTCCTCAATACGACTGACTACCGGGGCAAATTCGAAGTAGTCAAGGGAAGGAGCTATGGGGAGTCGAAGAGTATATCGTCTTCTACTGACCCCGTCCCCTGATCATTCCTCAGCACATAGCATAGATGTATAAGTTTCGTGAGTATAGCTATACATGAGTCTATGGTGAGAGCTAATGATAAATAGATGCCAGTACAAATCAACACCTGCATCGATTATATTGCTCCCAGCCGTAAGCAGTTCCTCGTGTATACTATGGAATTACTGACAGATGCATACAGCAAGCGACCCCAGCCGGAACCAGACCTCCCCTGCCTGCCTGCCCGCCCAGTTCCTGTAAGAGTTGATGATACATTTTCAAGAAGGCTAAAAGCTGACTGACAATGTAAATAGCCACTCTGCAATACCCTGCACGTCTCTTACTCTCGAAATATGCCGAAGTCCAACTCCACCATCGCTGCACCACTGCGGGAAGCACTCTGCGAGTGCTTCCGCTCGATCACCCGCCTAGTCCGGCCAGAATTACGTCGTCATACCATCCTGGTTGGCTGCGCAGCCAGCATTGCCCACTCCTCGGTCCTTGTGACAGAGGACGTGGATGTTGCGGCCCCTTCCAGCGCGTTAACTGATATCTGGAAGGGTATTTTGGCCGGCGCCCCCAACCTTTGCTTCGAATCCGACGGCAAAATCTCGTTCGATGCCCCTAGACAAGACATCCGACTCCGAGTCGACCTGCTCGAGATCGGCAACGGGTGCATCGAACGGATTCACATGACAGAACCCTTCTTTGCAGAGTCTGTTGCGTCCGTGTCGGATTTGTTGAGGTTGCGGGCCGTGACGGTGGTCGATCGTGGGAGCGATGGTGAAGTTGAAGACTTTCAATGGCTATTGTTGAGGGTGGCGTGCATGGGTCAATTACTTCCAGAGCTCGACGACGAGGAACTGGAGTGTATGCGCAGCGCAGGGGAGTCTAGTCTGGGGAAGCTGGATCGCTTGGTGCTGGGAGCAGTATTAAGCGCCAATAATTGGCAGCTTACATACCATTTCGTAATGTCTTAATTTGTATTTTCTCAACACAAATTTTGGACAAATGGCCGCATCTTCAATGCCGTGTGCTTCGCAAGCTCCAAATCGACCAACCAGGGTCTCTGTACAAAGCCCTCGTGTCCCACAATGGAGGCGTTGACGAACAGTGTTTCCTTGCCTGCATCCAGCTCATAGTCATCATGGCTGCAGTGACTTGTTGTGGCACATTTATTGTTGTTCAGCTGTTCCAGCTTCGCACGCTTTTCCTGGATGGTCTCGTCTGAGTCGAATGTGGTCACTCGGAGCGTAGCCAATTTCTCGACAACTGGCGAATTCTCGTTGTCGATGGAGGTGAAATGGGATGGTTGGTCAAACCCGCTGTCTTTCCAGGTCACCACCTTTGCACCCCAACCCTCGTGGATGTGGCCGAAACAGTGGACGCGGGGTCGGGCATGGGCCACGGCGGTAAAGAGGTCGGGACAACCCGCACGTTCGCGGCCGTGAGTCATGTCCATGATGCCTTTCGGAGGGCCGTGCGTCATGACGACGTCGGTGTCTTCTTCGATATCGAACCGGCGCCCGTTGTTTGGGTGATATTGAAATCCCCATGCACCCAAGGCGGGAGTGTACGGACTGGCATAAACCTTTAGCATCGCTCCATTTTCAAGTGCGAAACGGTGGGTTCCCTCATTTAAAAAGACGATGCCCTCGCTCCTTGCGTCCTCGAATAGTTGTCTAGCTTGGCCTAGGGTGCCGTATTCACGAGCCACAATCTCAGGATCCAGGGGTTGCGATGCCTCCGCAAGTTTGGATTCGAAGGCAGTAATGTCCATGGTGAAATCATGGTTTCCAGCGATGACTAATTTGAGAGGAGCATCAATCTTCTTGAGCATCTCGATCGAGGTCCGAAATTCCTCTAGTTTTGAGCCGTCGGTGAGGTCACCACAGTGCAGAGCCACATCCACACGCTGTCGAGGCCGATCCTCTGGGCCGAAATCCTCGCCGTGTGTATCGGACAGGATAAGAAGCCTCGTGTGGATTTTTTCCGCCATTGTAATGATCGAAAGTGTTGAGGAGAGAGTTTGGTATCGTGAGAATCAAAATTTCAAAGGGCCAGAGACCAATTTCATTGTCAGAAGCTGATTACTATCAGGCCCTTGTAATAAAGTACAGCGTCCAGGATTTCCGTAGAGGCAGTAGGTAGTTGCTCAGTGCGAAAACCCTGACCTTAAGGCGGGAATAGAGGGATGAAGAGGCTAATTCATTGCAGCTAGACATTTTCTGGGACGAATAGAACGATATGGTTCACCAGTCACGGAGCGTAGACACCCGTGGGTAGATAGATAGGTCCTCACGGCGAAAAGTTTGGTAGAGAAGTAAAGTGTGGTTGGGTTGACGAACCACGACTGGGATCCTAACAACACATGATCCCCGTGACTGAGCGGTTCTGCTCTACTATTTATGTACCTGTCGCCTGCATTTCGCATGAGGCACAACATCACACTTCGACTTGGTTCGCATTCCCAGCTCTTTCATTCTCCGTTAACCCTCTTGACCTCGACATTATCCATGTCCTGTCGTGCCCTGTATTCCGGAAGTCTCGATATACTTGATCCTTTCGTTCCAGACCTCAGACGCCTCATCAGATGGGTCTTCCAGCCTGATCCGCTTCGACGACGTTTATCCAGTCAAAAGCTGCAATCGAGTCCTCAATTACGCCCTTTGCGGAGTGGGTTCCAGATGCCTTGAATAGATTCGTCTACAAAAGGTGACACGGCGGGGTGGGTCTTGAGTACACTGCGGCTGACCAGACACTGGGGAAGAATAGGTTGTAGCTCTCGCCGCATTGCTGGGGTCGTTGAGCAGCATACTTACATCGCTGGCTGTGGGAGGGGTTTCTTTCCATCAACCTCATGTGGCAGAAAAATGGACCCTCTTGTGCACAAGCAGAGACACCTTGACCTTATGCTTTGAGAAGCGCTGGAACTGCCTGAGCGTGGGAATCAGTCAAGGGACGCGAGAGATTTGACGTCTTCGTGTAGTATAGGACCAGGAGATGCCTTGGCGTATGCCCTTGAGCCATTGGGCGCCGCAAATCCTGGCCTAGGAATTAATTAGCCTAGCAGCAGTTGAAAAATGATCATGTTAATATACATTAAGGTATGCGGTACTTGTATTTTCTTCCACGACCTATTTACCTTGACTAGGTACTTGCCTACCTACCTACCTACCTACCTAACCCCCCACCTACCTGCTCATACAAAAAGTGATCCCTGCTTACTGACCATGTTCAAGTTCTAATAGTGGCAAATAGATTCAATGTACAAGTAGATGCTCTACCATCCCGTCTATCCTAGAACACATGTCCCCAGCTCTGAAATACTTTTAGAGGCGTACACCACATCCTTCTCCCCTTCCCAATTCTCGTTCTACTTGGTCGCTAGATGGTCTTGTGTTTCGACTCATCCAGCGAGCTCTTTCGCGAGTGCGACTCACATATCTCATCATGTTGATAGCAAGAGGGCCATTTCCGCTTTCAACGCGAGTCTCGCAATGCTGGCGCGGAGATGTCGTGATTCCCAGACATTCTTCCCTGAAGCCGAGTCTCCCGCCTTGGAGGCGGCCTTGATTCTCGACCTTATGCTTTGATGGCCTTTGCCCTTCTGCGCATGTCGACGGTCATGTCATACAGAACATCCTTGAAGGCAAAAAGGAAAGCTGCAGTCAAGACACTCTGGCTGACTTTAGGGACGAGACCTAGACAAGATTAGTCAATGAAGTGAGAAAGAACAGACTCCCGCTCACCCTTGTACAAGCCGCCCCAGCCTTCCTCCTTGACGATTCTGTTCAGGCTCTTCCACATTCCCTCATGGGGATCATCTTTGCTTGCCACGTGGGCCCTGGCTTTGACAGTGATATATGGATACGTGATGGTCGTCGCCAGCAACTTGCCCAGAGCACCCAGGTAAAAGGCATCACGAGGACCAAACTTCCTCTTCTTCTCCAAAAAGTTGCGGAACTGTTCGTAGATCGTATATTGTAGGATCGGGTTGATCACCAAGACCAAAGCCGGAAGCACGCCGGCGAAAAGCGCCGAAGGCCCCTCCTCCTTGAGAAGGCTCAACAAGGTCCCGATGGTGCTGGGTTTCTTGACCTGTCTCTTTTCACCACCCGGAAGTTCACCTTCTCCAGAATCACTCTTCCGGGCAGTCATCCTTGTGTTGATGACCCAGATAGGGTTGGTGAGGAGGACAGTTGCCGACCCCGCGATCGCGCCGGCAATCATGCTCTCCACAGTGGTGAGCTTCTTGCTGGCTCGACCTGCTGTGACGGCCGCTTTCTCAAAGAATGCGCGGGTCCACTCATACCAATAGTAATAGACGAAGTTGGTGACCGAAATACCAAACAAGGCGCTCTCAAGTCCTGCATAGAGTCCACCCAAACCCTCCCGCTGAATGATGTGCCTCACAGCGGCGATTGTGGAGGTATCAGCTCGCTTCGACTCGACCTGTGCGCGGGTTGAGAGAGTGATCAGGGGGTAGGTAAGGGTCATCGCGAGAAGGCCACCGCCCGCTCCGGCCAACGCATGGGCAATGTTGTCGCTCTGCTGAGCGGCGGAGGTCGCGGGGGTGGTGCTGACTGCACCGGAGGACTTCGAATCGAGGTCGGCCTCGGTAGGGGAGGGCGCGATTTCCTTGACGTTGGACATGATGGCGGGAGTCTGGCGCAAAATGCTTCGAGCGCGACGGAATGTGGTGTTGATAGAAAAGGAGGGGTAGAATAGAATCAGCAAAGAGGAACGAGAAAGGAGTGTAGCGAAATGAACGAAGAAGAGTCAACGGGTGCCCGCTTTTTGTAGCTCACAGACCTTGACGCATGCGCAGAGGAAGAATTGGGGATCAATGGAGGAATTCGGAAGGACAAACCACAAATTGAAGGGGAATCACAGTGGTTAAGGGGAGCGTTCTCGGCGATCGAGGCAAGTGAGCGCAGTTGAAGATGCAGCATCGCAGCCACTCACACGGCGCACATTTTACCTCGGCAATTGTCCTTTATTGCCCTGACGCATCCGAAGCAAATTCGTTTTCCTTCTCCGACCATAGCTTCGTTCCATATATCGGACTAGCTGTCGCGATGCTAATTGAAACAGAAAAATGAACCAACAAATGGCAGTTCTACCGAGTAGCTGAGGAGGCAATCGATCATCGCCGACGGCCTCGGCCCGCGCTCTCTCCTTTGCCATGCTTTCACTCAAACCTCTCCCTCACTATAACATCGCATTATAGCAAATTGCCCCTGATTGCAACCCAACACACTTGACGGTTGTTTCCCACGGACTGATTACTTATTCCAACTTGCTTCCGCCCATAGTATATCCTCGCGCTCATTGTGTCTTCCCCGTCGCCACTTTCGAGATCGGAGCCGGTCGGTTGCCCTGACGTTGTTGGTACAAGACATACCCGAAGTAGACCGCACACAGCGTTCCGATGAGGAATATGTTTCCTGCTCAGGTCAGACCTGTGACTCTTTCTCCAGTGCATACTATTCGATGACCTACCGATGAGGAAGCCAAGAACACCTTCGGCCAAGTTGAACGTGTTCTTGAGGAGGCCAATGACTGCGTTCAAAGCGCCCTCGAAGATGTTGAACGCGGTGATGAAGATACCGGTGATGATCTCGAAGACGGAGGCAAACAAGTTGCTGACACCCTTTACAATTTCCGACATGATGATACGGCTTGGTGAGAGTTGATTCTGAGCAGATTAACGAGCTAGGGGGGGTAGGAAGGCTATGGTAGGTATGAGATGGGCCTGGATGATACTGAGAGGAGCAGAGTTGAAGTATGCGCGAGGCCGCTACGGCGCTATTGCGTGTGTTCTACTTGTATACCATGAGGAACAAAGTGCGTCACACGCTCTCGCTTGTTGTCCCTTGGAATGCGCCTGTAGAACGACCGAACGCAGCGTCTTCGTCCTTCACTCAGCCGTGGCATTGTTTGCCCTGTGACGTCACCCTGATTCGGCATGATCTGCATTGTTCCTGGTTTGGTGGCGGCGTCTTCCGTATAGAGACAATATTGAACACTCCCCATGACCACGAGAAGCCTTTGGTCATGTGGCGCATATCGTCAGACTGTACAAGTTTTGGCTTTGGTAGCTCCCCCGCCAACATGTTGGATAAACACCCTGTCGCATTCTGCGATCTGCATGCAATGGCTAAAACCAAACCCCAACTAAACCGGATTCTGACGTGTGGCTGTGCTGGCCGAACCACTGATTGCGAACTCTGGAACAATTTGAGAACACTGTGAAAGCAGTCGCCTTAGGCTCAACCTTATTGAGATGCCTCGCCGTACAGAGTAAGTTACGTTTGTTTCTCATCTTTTCATGATGTGATTGCAGCCATCCCGTTTCTGGGGTCACAGGCAAACCATCCATGGCAATCAGCTAATCAGATGGGGAATTATTTCGTAGCTTCCCACCGGTTCGCGCCTGTATTTTTGACATGGACGGCCTCCTGCTCAACACCGAAGACATCTACACATTATGCGCCGACAACGTCCTTCTCAAATACGGCCGTCCGCGGCTACCCTGGTCTGTGAAGGCTCAACTTATGGGGGTTCCTGGAAGCTCAACCGGCGACGTCTTTCACCAATGGGCCCAGCTGCCTGTTTCCAGGGAACAGTACGCGAGAGAACAGAGTGAACAACAGCAGATCCATTTTGCTCAATGTTTACCGTTGCCTGGCGCCGAGAAGCTCCTCCAGGATCTGAACAAGGCTAGAACGACTACTGGCCTGCCTGTGGAGATAGCTCTGGCCACCAGCACCGGGAAGCTTAATTACAGCCGCAAAGTGGTGAGGCCGGAGACGAAGAGGCTGTTGGATTGGATCCCTGCAGAACACCGTGTGCTGGGCGACGATCCACGTGTCCAGAAAGGCCGGGGCAAACCAGCACCCGATATCTATCTGTGTGCATTGCAAGTACTCAACTCCAGGCTCCCGAAAGGACCACCTCCAATCGCACCTGAAGAATGCTTGGTCTTCGAAGATAGCGTGCCAGGCGTCGAGGCGGGGCGCAGAGCCGGCATGAGAGTGGCATGGGTCCCTCACCCAGGTCTGTATGCCGAATTTAGAGGACGGGAGATGGAGGTGCTCGCCGGCAGGACTGGTCTTGTAAAGATTGGCAATGAAGACCAGCTGGGTGAGGTTGATGATGGGTGGGGAGAGTGCCTGACCAGTTTGGAAGACTTTCCATACGCAAGGTTTGGCATCGAGGTATCTACTGGGTGAGTAAATGGTGATCCGTGGGCGTCGTGTCTCTCCAGGCGAATCAATATTGGGGCACTGCTCTACATCGATTCCGTCGCTGCCTCAGGCTGAACAAGGCTGAGCCGAAGTTGAGCCGAACAAATCCAACGTGTTTGGCCAAGAAATAGAACGGCAAGATGGCCAATCCCTGGATCGGAAGTTCACGATAAAAATATGTTAAAGATTTCCAGCCATTTACCACATATATCATTATGATCCATCCCTCGAAACTGTGACGATTCAAAGTTGAAGGACCCCTATCCAATCTCACTGGGTCTAGCACCGCAGGGCGAAATGGCCTTTTCAGTCATCCAGCCCTACCAATATGTCGCCATTCGGCTGCCCTCCGATCAGACAAGAGTCGAACAAATGCTCCCCAACACGTAGGTCTTTTTTGCACACCGAGAAAGAATGAAAAGAAAATCTGTCAGGCCATAAACAGATATCAGCCAACGGCCTTGATGAGCTGTCGCTGACTCTGTCTCTTTTTCCCCCACAAAGTCTGATAAACCTGGGCAAATATGGGTCTTTCCGCACAAACCAGATCATAGGCCGTCCGTACCACCTGACTTTTGAGATCCTCGACCGGTCCGAAGTCAAGAATGGCAAAGAGCTCCGCGTCGTGCAGGCCGCCGAGTTGCATGCCATGGCTTTGGTCGAGCAGGCTGAGACGGACGGAGAGGTGCCAACGCCTGCGAACGAGCCGGACGAACTCGCCGTGTCACAACAGCCGACGACGACGACGACGACGACGACAACGACGACGCCCAAGTCCAATGTCAACACCCACGATGATCCCACGAACCAGAAGTTGACCATGGCCGAGATCGAAACGTTGAAGCGTAACACCATGGGTAGCGGGCGAGAATTGATCGAAAAGATAATGCAGTCCCACTCCACCCTGGACCAGAAGACTGATTTCTCTCTGGCAAAGTATACGCTCAGGAAGCACAAGAAGTATATGAAGCAGTTTACTGTGTTGCCGTTAGATGTGTCAACCCTAGTCGACTGGATGATGGCCGATCGGGAGTTTGCCAAGGTCATGGAGATGAGGAACGAAGTCCTCGGCCTGGTCGGGTGCTGGGCGAATGTTCACGCTGCCGGGCAAGACTCTGCCATGCTCTACGATATGGACCCATATGCGCGGTATCTGGTTGTGGACGACACGGGCGGTCTGCTGGTCGCAGCCATGGCGGAGAGAATGGGGATTTTGCACCCAACAGACATCGCACACGAGGTGGTTGGCAACCCTGAAGACGAAGACGTGGACGATGAACAACCCGATGAGACACCGACGCATCTGCTGCCTCGAAAGCCCTATCGTCAACGATACCGCCGCTCGGCGATGAGCGCAACCTCCAATACCATCACGCTCGTGCATGCGAATCAACAACCCAATCTCGGCCTCTTGCGCTATTTCAACTTCGACTCCAACGCCCCCACTGCTTCTCATCCATTATACACGAATATGAAAACGCTCTCGTGGTTGCAGCTACTCGAGCCAGAGTCCGCCATCACGTATCAAGAACCGCCCCAGATTCCGGACGCCGAACTGGCGAGGATGAAATCGAACCGAAGGAGTGCATACTACCGCAAACGCCGACGGTGGGAACGAGTCAGGAACGTCGTGAACGAGACGCAGGCGGGCGGCTTCAACGGCCTGATCGTTGCCAGCTTCGCCGACCCGTCGTCGACGTTGCGCCACCTCGTGCCTCTGCTGGCGGGCGGCAGCCAAGTCGTGGTCTACTCACCCAACGTCGAACCCCTCGTCGAACTGGCAGACTGCTACTCCACAGCACGGAGAGCTGCGTTCATCAACACACCTCTGGAACAGCGGACTGTCCCGTCCAAGGACTTTCCTGTCGACCCAACACTCCTTCTAGCCCCGGCGGTGCACACAGCGAGGGTGAGGAAGTGGCAGGTCCTGCCGGGACGGACACATCCGCTGATGACAAGCCGAGGTGGTGCAGAGGGCTACATATTCGTAGGGACAAGGGTGGTACCAGCAGAGGGCAAGGTTGAGGCGAGAGGAAGGCCGCCCAGGGGGAAGAAGATCAAGGCTGATGACAAGCCTGCGGAAATTCCGGTCGCAGGTGAGCTCGAGGAAGGGAAGAGAGCAGCAGACGACGAGGAGCAGCCCCAGTCACCGCTGAAGAAACTGAAGGTCGAGACTGCGGCACAAGAACCGGACCGTCTTGACGCGCCCGATCCTGTCGTCAACCAGGCATAAATCGGCTACTAGAAGAGAGACAGTTGTAACATTGAGCATACGTTATTGGATAATATGCCATTGCACGGAATTTTCGGTTTATCGTCGTGGGAAGCAGCCATAAACACTTTCTCATCAGTTCGTGCCTAATATGCAGCTTGGCCATGCATTTCCCTCAAATATTCCTCTATAAACTCTTCCCCATAAACTTTCTCTTTGTGAAACTTAGCCACCACTTGCTCGGTACATTGCTTCCATCCGCGTAGAGCCGAGCATGCAGCCTGATTGCCAGTTCCTGTCTCACTTGACTCAAGTAACTCCTCAAAGCCTCAGCCTCGTTCCGGTCTCTCGGTGCCTCATACGCTTGGTTGAGCGGGAATCCTGGCTCCCCTGGAATGCTAAACTGCTCCAGCGCTCCGTTTATCAGGGCCTTCTCGGCCGCACGGGAGTCCATGTTCGGTTTTACTTTCGTCAAGCAGTCCGACAGGAAGAGGATGCCGTAGATGAGCATGCGGTCTGCGGGACCTTTGATTTCGAAGTTGCGGAAGAAAGTGTTGGCGCGGAACAAGCTCAGGATTTCGTCGAGGCAATCGTAGGACTCGGAGTCCGGGTCGACGTCGAGGGGGTCAACATTGGGAGGAAGAGCTGGAAGGGTGTATGCTGGACCACGGGTTTTCGTGCGAAGCGGGAGGAGCGGAAAGTTGCCTTTTTGGAGCACAGATGTTAGCACGCGAGAGAGCTTGTGAGGTGTCGTGTTGTCTGATCGTGGTGAGAATACCTATTAGCTGGACGCCCTGGTCGCCCAGGAAGATGGAGTGGTACGCCTGTGAATGAGATGTCAGCGGGTTCATGCAGTGTAGCAGGACTAGCGTTGACTCACCGGCATCTTGACTTCCTACAAGGTTGCGTGAGAGCACGCAAACAGGAGAGATCAAGGGTAGCAGTCAGTTCCTCAAGTTCCCATCTCACTGCGGACGAGGAATTGAGTGCGTCTCCTTCCAGGCATTTGCTGTAAGGTCACTCACTACTGCGTCCCACCAATGTAATGAGCCCGCAAACGCGGCTTGGCATTCGTGTGCGGGGATGGAGAGTCACTATGGTGGAATATCTATTCACAAACCGCATTTCAATTAACGCGTCTCTGGAGGCGCAGGCGCGTCATGGGGGTGGAACATTGACATCCATCTGAACAACTTCACAACCCTTTCAAGCATGTTTTTATAGGAATTGACAGTAACAACAGACAAAAGATGTCGGACTACGAAGATGAGATGGACCTGGACGCGCCTGCGTCCAAGGACAAGGCTATCAAATTCAGCTCAGACAGCACGGCGGGCAAACAGAAACGAATAGCTGCAGACTTGCCGGTGGAAGCGGAGGACAACTTACCATGGTATGCCGCCGTCTCCTGCACAATAAAGTGGTGATCTAGCTGCTCACAAGAAACAAGGGTTGAGAAATACCGGCCCAACACCCTCGACGATGTGTCTGGGCACCAAGATATCCTCGCTACAATCAACAGATTTATTGAGCACAACCGGTTACCGCATCTCCTCTTCTATGGACCGCCAGGTACAGGAAAGACGTCGACAATTCTGGCGCTGGCGCGACAGATATATGGACCCAAGAACATGAGGCAGATGGTCCTCGAACTCAATGCATCCGATGATCGTGGCATCGACGTTGTTCGAGAGCAAATCAAAACTTTCGCCTCAACCAAACAGATCTTCAGCACCTCAACGCAGCAAACTCCGGGCGGGCCAAAATTGGGCCTAGGGGCCTTCAAGCTGATCGTTCTCGACGAAGCAGACGCAATGACGTCCGCGGCACAAATGGCCTTACGCAGGATTATGGAGAAATATACGGCTAACACAAGATTCTGCATTATTGCAAACTACACACATAAATTGTCTCCAGCACTGCTATCGAGATGTACACGGTTTCGATTCTCGCCGCTGAAGGAAGCAGATATCCGTCGGCTGGTGGACAAGGTGATTTCACAAGAAAAGGTCAATATCACGCCGGAAGCAGTGGACTCGTTGGTCAAATTGTCGAGAGGTGACATGCGTCGAGCGCTGAATGTTCTTCAAGCCTGCTATGCTGGATCACGACCTCTCCCGATGCGAGGGCAGCCTCCCATTCCAGAATCAGAGATCAAGTATGAGCTGATTACGAACGACACGATCTACAACTGCATTGCAGCGCCACACCCGGAAGATATCCGCTTGATCATGACAACCATGTTGAGCACGCCAGATCTAACGGAATGTCTAAGGACGATCAATGCCTTGAAGAGCAGTCGTGGTCTGGCACTTGCAGATATTTTGACCGCGCTGGCCGAGGAATTGCAGAACCTCGAGGTTAGTCCTGCAACCAGAGTAATATGGTTGCAAGGGCTCGCAGAAATCGAGTACAGACTGGCAGGAGGCGGAAGTGAGGGTGTGCAAACTGGTGGTATGATTGGCGTTGTGCGGACAGGATGCGAGCTGATGGGAGAAAAAGGCATTGGCGAGAAGATGAGCGTGGATGGGTGAACAACCTTGATTCGGGAGGGTCAACCCATTGGGCTTGACGCTGAGATGTGCACCAACTCAATTCTTTGTTTCAACCATGGTGAGATCACAAGAGCGGCAGGGTGGCCCGAGAAAATACTTCCTACCAGCACAAAACAGATGCGAAGTTGGTCGGGCAGTTACCTGGGCTATTGCAGAGATAGATGACTTGACGGAGATGCATATCGAACTGTCTTGAACTGTGCATCAAGGCCCATTTGCTTCTCCGAATGCCCAGCCTCCACCTACGCTAGCGTCTTGGCATCCAAAGTTGCCGGATCCCTTTCTTTCCAACTTCTCAACATCTTTCATCATTGTTATTCCTGGACGATGTAGGCCGTCGGGATATGGTGAAGTCGTGTCTGATGCCTCTGTTACTTTGTCCATTAGCTTCTCTTCCAATTCCGGAACTGAGATTTGATTGTTTTTCCTCGGTTGTGCCCCGCAGATATCATCCAAGGTGCAAATGGACGATAGGCGGTCAGCGGCTACATTTATTCACTTCCAGCACCCACCTTCTATGGACATGAATTATCGGCAACAACCTCGACCACCCGCAATATCGTCGGCGGTGCTTTTGGATATGTAGTTCTGCTGTCAACGCTCATCGGTTGTCACTTGCCATTTGCTCCCAAGATATTTACATCACCCAAAGGCCGGATCATCCTCGTCAAACACATCTATCGGGTCATGTTACAATTCATCCAATTCACGTCATCTGCCGTCTTTCCCGACCCGACGATACCAATTTTATGGTCTGCATCAACCACTGCTAACAAGATACATCTGCCACTTCTACGTCCCCCAGAGCTACTTGCAAAATCCTTAGGTCAAGGTTCAAAAGGCCATGGAGACACAGCAGCTTGATTGTTGACACGACATCTAACAAGCGCAAACTGACATCTAGGCTTCATCGGTGCCGTTGCTGTGTGAACAGACATTGCTGCCTTTCTGTGGCCAGTGTCGGATTTCACAAGAGCAGAAAATGTTTGGAGAGGTTGTTGATATCGGTGGGAGATGGGGAGAAAGGTTAATATTCAAGGCGTTTCCCTACAGGCAGTTGAACGGCAATGCGCAAACGCGTGAAAGTCACTGGCTGTCATTTTTTGCGTGTTGACAAGTCTGGGAGAAGCGCCGAGAAAAAGAATCCACGTAGATAGACTGTCGCGTTTAGTACTGTCACTCTGAAGTGCAGACTGACGCTCGCCCTTTTGATCTTTTACGCCCTTGAATTGCTGCCAACAACGCAACACGCTCGACTCAGTCTGAGATTGCACTGTTGGTGTAGTTCTCACGACAAGTACAACCCGACTCCGGCGATTGTAGTTTGTGTGTGGTAGATTGCAGCCTTATCATTACTGGAGTCATTCAGAGTGATGGGCAAAAAGAAAGGTAAAAGAAGGGCGAAAGAGAGGCTGATGCAGCATGACGGACCTGGCGAGGTGGCGAGCAGAACGCGGCAGGAGATGGACAGGGAGACCGAGACAGAGACACGACGCCTGGGGCAGCATGAGTGGGAGCCTGGACCAGCAACAGGTGAGTCCTCTGTCTCCCCTAAACACCCCAAAACTCCCCGGAATTGGAAGGGCCTGCAGGCGTCAAAGTTGTCGAACTCGAGTCCGACTTTGGGGCGAGCTGGCACAGTTGGTGGGAGGGGATGGGCGTGCCAAGTCTTTGGGTCCTCGCCCTACCCATGCAACCTTGGTCCGCATCTGGCTCATGGCTCCGTCGCTGAATCTCCAAACTGCGCAGGACTCACTACCCAACATCCAAATCCGCTGCCTCACGAGCACCACCTCTACGACCATTACTCCCCCACAAACCCTCGAATCTCTACCGACCACATCTTTGCAAATGCCGCCCCGCATTACATGGCGAGGTCTCGAAGGAGCCCATCAATGAAGAATCGCTGGCGAGGCGAAGAGGATCCGCGCCCGAGACATCCACATTATCGACCGCGGGACAGAGACCCAAATCGAGGAGGAGGTCGTCCTCATTCACCACATTCTGGATATCCAGAAGCAGAACGCTCGGCGCCTCTAGGACCGGGGCATCGTCCTGATCGACCACCTCGTGAACCACGTTGGAGGCGCCAATTTTCGAGGGACGGAGACGCCAGGAAATTGCATGGTAGAAAGTCTTCGATTTCGCCTCCCCGTCGTTTCCCAAAATCCAAGCATCAGCATCGTCCACCACCTCGAAAGCAATTTGGCGACCGACCTGGGAGACGCCCTGATTTCTCACCAACGCCATCAACCAAACGAAGGCGTACTCGAAGCCCTTCTCCTGCAGGCGACGACAGATTTGACTTGGAAGGTCAAAGACGTGCTCGCAGCCGGGATCTCTCTGATACTGAGGACAGGGTTCCGCAAAATCATCCATCTCCATTCCAGCTTGGGGATTTTTCCACGCATTCATCGCGACTCAATTCACCCGCTTTCAGATCTGAAGCCCCAGATCGTGGTGATTACGAACCCAACAGCCGAAGAGAACCCTCGCCATCCCACGCACGCGATCAACGATCCATCTCCCCTCGTCTGCCTGCGAGATCATCTCCACATCGACACCCCGAGTCTAAATATTCATCTATCGAAACTCGAGAATCGTCCGTGAACTCGACTCGTCCATCTCAACATCCCCCACCTGGCCCAGGCCGATTCCCTGCTGGGAAGGGGAATCACTCTTCAAGAGCTCCTTCCGTTGTCGACGAGACCGACAACCGCTCCATGGATGGCCAATACCCATCACGTGGTAATTATGGGATGAATCGAGGGCAACACAGACCATATGCGGAAAATAGACACCAGGGATACGGAGGATCTCCGCCATATTCTTCCAACAGCTCCTATCACGGCTCACCGCCGCAAAACTCTCCATATCATCAGCAGAGAGGCGGCTGGGGAGGCCAAGGTCACCATGGGTCAGTATTCTGATAATCTTATGACAAGCCTTTTCACTAATGAATTTCCAGGCCGATGCACAATTCCTCTCCCCCCTACCGGCAAAATAGCTTTTCCAACTCAGGCAACGTGAACAATCCTAATCCTTACTATCCAAATCAACCGGGCCACCATGGTGGTAATCAACATGGTTATCAACAAAACTACCGAGGTGGTCGTGGACATGGTTCTCATCGTGGACACTTCCAACAAGACCAGAGGTTCAACGGTCCTCGTCACAGAGGACGAGGTGGACATTTCAATAACTTACAATGGACGGCGCCTGGTCCGAAACAAGGTGGACCACAAAATCAAAACTTCCAGGGCGGACCCGGGAGTCAGTCGCAAACATCTCCTACTCCATCGCACACCGCTTCACAGGACGACCGAGACGC